CATTGCCTTCAGGAGAGAGTGTTTGGGCAATTTCCTTGGCAGTGCTGAAAAGTCCCCTCGCGTCCACCTCTCTCATTCTGCTGCTCCAACCTATGCACCACTCGCTGTGGATGAATTCCATCAACGGTTCATCTAACCACCTCTCATATCCCTTGTCCGAGGCTCATGTGCTCAGCTTACACACAGTCTCATCAGGATGTCATTTTGATTTAAGCCCTCGTCTTCTCTCCATTAGGTCTAAGACCTCATCTGTTAGCCACTGCAGGCTTTTGCACTGTTTCTTTCCTCCAGTCATATTGTGTGCTGACATCTTCTCCCTCACACCAGGGATCATTTGGTCCCCTTCAGTTCTGGCATGCAAATAGCACCTCAAACTGGCTGTAAACTTCCACTCTGGAGTTGTCGCTGATATGTCTCGGGAGAAATCCAGCACATGGAAATTGCTTTCTCTTTGTTTCTGTCTTGCATAGGAAGAAACATGTGGCTCTTAGAAGCCAAGAGATAAACAGAGGTGAGGAGTGTGGGTAGGGAGAATGTTATCAATAATTCATTGGCAATAGAGCAGCAGCAAACTGTTCATCAGAGATTTGAGCTCCCGTGGATGAGCTCTACCAAAGTGCACAGGCAGCCAGGCTCATTCTTCATTACATTCTGGAATGGGCCCACTAGCTTAGGTCCCTAAGAAACACTGTGAGGAATAAAGTTCCCCTCTTGCTCCCTTTACCGGCAATGACAAGATCACTTTACATCTGGATCCTAACTGCTGAATAGAGACCAAGAACTTGCTTGCACAAGTAGAGGCCTTAATCCTACAAAGAATTACACATTAAAGTCAGGTTTCAGAGTAGCAGCCGTGTTAGTCTGTATCCGCAAAAAGAAAAGGAGTACTTGTGGCACCTTAGAGACTAACAAATTTATTTGAGCATAAGCTTTCGTGAGCTATAGCTCACTTCATCAGAAGCACGTAGTGGAAAACACAGTGGGGAGATTTTATATACACAGAGAACATGAAACAATGGGTGTTATCATACACACTGTAACAAGAGTGATCAGGTAAGGTGAGCTATTACCAGCAGGACAGCAGGGGTGGGGGGAACCTTTTGTAGTGATAGTCAAGGTGAATTCAGAATGCGTAACATTAAAGTATGCAAGGGCACTGATGTTAAAGTACGTAAGTCTTTGCAGTATCGAGGTCCGAGAGCCCACACTGAAATCACAACTAGACACAGACATGAACTTGACACTTTTGAGGTGCCATTTACTTCTGGCAAGTGTGACTTGCTAGCTGCTGCTTTGCTTTTCTTTAAAAAATCCCCTTTTTAATCTTAAAAGTGGAGCAAGAATTAGCCATCAAACAATAATCTCTATCATTACAGAGAGTAGGTTTCTAGTTAGCTTGGCATATATGTATTTTTTATGAAATTTCCCTGGAAAAATATTGGTTTAAATTACAGGAGAAAATGTTTCATGAAATTGGAAATGTTTTGCAGAACCCAAAACGTATATAATTAAAAACCCTAGAAGGCATATGCCTCAGGCTGCCCTACTTCACCTCTGTCCTAAGCCTTTTGGACACAAGGATAGAACTCATCCTAAAAAAGACTGAGAAAGGAAGAAAGAAGAGAAGAAAGTTCCCAAACCAACACTTTAAGATTCTGAAGTGTTTCCTCCACTTAAAAGTACTTTAAGAGGAGAAGGGTATCAGGAACCATCAGCACTTTCTAAGCTGAATCTCATAAATATGACTGCTGCCTGGGTCAGGAAGAAAACTCTCTCCAGCTTGCATGGTACATGACTGCACATTTAGATATTACCCTGAACATCCATTATTGGTCACTGCTGGAGATGGGCTACTTGGCTAGATAGAGCATTGCTGTGCTGTGGCCTGGCTATCTTTAGAGTATATTCACTTTTATTCTTTAACCAAAACTAATGCCCGGGAGAGAGAGCCATTGTCTATATGCAGTTGCGATAGATGGCTTATTTATAATGGGGTCAAATCCAGGAGCTGGATCCAGAAAAATAGGGCATAGTTTTGTCTGAGTGAAGGATCCATTGCAAGTTTATTTTGCACAAAGACCCCAAATTTTTTACTCACATTTTAGCACAAAGTCTAAAATCCTGAGTATTAAGAAGAGCTGAACAAAGACTGCAAAGTATTTCCCACAAATGTGTTCCCACCCCTTTTGTGTTTGCTTTCCACAAATATTCTAGTGAATGAGTTTAGTGGCAGGAGTGTCTGCAGAAACAGCTCTACGTATTTGTGAGCAAATATAGGGAATATTCACAGAAGCAAATCTTCATATATGTGCATAGTTCACGCTTGGAACCTGAGTCTATGTAATATACTCATCCAATCAGAAAGGAGAGTCAGAACATGTGATCCATGGGTCCAATCAAAACAAATCAGTTCAAATTTTGACTAACCTTTCCAAAGAACTTCTCATAAACTGACTTACTTATGACCAAGGAAGTATTTGAAGGAATAATTCTCAACAGCTAATAAATCAGAGAAAGTTGTGATTGGCTTGTCGATAGTTCACTAATAAAAAGAGGCAGAATTCACTGAATACATTTTTCAGTTTGGTTTATTCGCCTAACTCTAGCATTAAGTGAAAGAGGACATATGAATGCACTATAATATGGTAGACTTCAGTTAAATCGAATTTGCCCTACCTTGTCTGTGTTCAGTTTGTCTGCAGTTTTGAGGGGTTGTTACTGTCATTGGAGTGTACAGAAGTGATCTTCAGGTCATGCCTGGGGACAGCAGCCAAAAATGGTATTAAGCCAAACCTTTGAGAAGGATATATAAAAACCAGGGGGTAAAATATCAGTGTATGCACTGTATTCATTTGAACATCTTTTGCCCCATGGATTCCGCTCAGTCAGAACTCTTGCTTGGAGCCTGACTGAAAGGAATTGCTGACTGGATGCATAAGAGGTTGTCTTAGACAGGTGGAGGTGGTGGTGATACCCATGGTTTGTTGCTTTGCTATTCATTGGGCCAAATCCTGTCCTCAGTTAAGATAATGGGTAGTTTGTCCTCATTTCCCTAGGACATGGATTTGGTCTCTGATATTGGGAAACATTTGAGTAAGGGTGGCCAGAAAACAGTAATTCTGTTTGTGAAAAAATTTGCAGTTTTGACACTTGTTTTTGTTCTGCATCGGAACAAAAATGAGACCTTTTGAATTTTTTTGTGTAAAAAGGGAGGTGGGGGGAAGAGAGAGAGTGAGAGAACGAGACTGAGACCCAGCCCTACCCCAGAATAGCCAAGAGCCTGGTGGTTAGTGTACTCACCATGGATATGGGCGAGAGAGACCCAGCCCTACCCCAGAATAGCCAAGAGCTTGGTGGTTAGTGTACTCACCATGGACATAGGAGATCCATGTTCAAGTCCTTTCACAGCCTGCTTTTGGCTATTCTGGGGTGGTCTTTCTCTCTTGTTCCCAGAAATTCCATCTGGATCCGAGAAGTCTTTTAGATGCAATTTTTTCACCCAAACGAATAAATTTCCATGAAACATTTCAGTTTCAATGAAATGACATTTTGTCAATTTTTTTTGACCAGCTCCACCAATAAGCTAATTGCATCCTTTATTTTCTATACTCCTTATATTTTCTATACTCTATACTTATGATATAAACTGTCCAGGCTTAAAAAATGCTTATGATGTTATCTGTTGATGTAGGGAAACACATTAAGACCGTAATGAACAGCAGCAGCTACATACCAGTGGCTCCCACTAGGGGCTTAGCCATCCTACCCATCTAGCCACACAGTCCTGCATTGATTCCTGATAAATCAGATACATGCCCCACAGCAAGATGCATGCTCCTCCCATTCAAGTGGCTAAGCTGATAAAGCGATGCAGGTGGCACTTACCTTTATGCTTTAGATACATTTAGGTTTGCCCCGCACCCTAGAAGTAAGTAGTCCAGCCCTCCCCTCTGCATCATTGTCTTGGACGAAGCATCCTTGTTTCTGCTGCAGCTTTCCATTCTAAGATGAAAACTGTTTGAGCCTTAAGTGTGTGTCTTCAGAACCGAGAGACATGTCAAAAGAACAACTGGAACGGAAACCCTTAAATGCCAGGTCTTAAATCATTCTGGCAAATTTGCAGTCTGCTTGCATTTCCTCCCAGTCCCAAAAGTTCGGTGACGGATGACCATTGATTGGAACAAGTTGGAACTTATCATCTGGCACTCGATCTCAGATAACTGACCTCTGTTGCCATAATAAAGGGCACCATTCTAAGCATGTTTAATAACTTGCTGTAACCACATCACAGAAACACTTACAGGACTAATGGGGTTGAGGTTGTTATTTCATCAGTCTAGGAACACATTACAAAATCCCAGCACACTGCTTTTCCAGCTGCAGAAGAACAGCTGGCCCGTCCTACACTCTAAGAGCCAACCACACTTACCATTAAAGAACCAGTATTTGCCACGCCAAGTATAGTGAAAACCTGTGGTATCTCTGATGCCTCTTTGGGTTCACTGATGGCACACTCTGATATGTAATAGCAACACTTTTCAGGGTCACCCAAGGTGTCTGGGGTGAATCATGACTACCTGCTTACAGGGTAAGAGAGCCTCATCTGTGCCTACCAGGGGAAACCCTCCCAACTCTGCTGTCTGCTCGCAATAGTGAGCCCTGCTTTCTCCCTTTCCAGGCTAGCAATGTACACAGCCCACTTTGTTACACTCGAGTGCACATCTACAGTGTGCAGCGATCTGCTGCCTCTGTGGAAGCAGTACACCCCAGTTTGCCAACTTCACTTCAGTTCAACACTGTCCTTAGCACAAGGCACATAGACTTGTCTATAGTGAAACCAAATTGAACTTTCTGCAATGGAGCTTAAGCTACAGATTCAAATAAAAGCAAGGAAAAGGATTTGGAAATGTAAGGTTAGAGGTAAAAGGAAAACAGGAAACACAACCTATAGCTTATACTTATTAACAAGTTACTTTCCTGTCTAATAAGGTATTTCTTACCCAGTGGTCAGTCCTTTCAGTGCTTGTCCACTCCAGAGAGCTGGGATCTGCTTTTCCAGAGACACTCCTGCTGGTAGAATGTCACCTCCCTAATGGATTAAATTTTTGCCCTCTTTCCTTCCCTTATACATTTCTGGACCTTTGTCAAATCAAGTCTATATCTGTTCCAGATTGTAAACACAGGGTTGGGCAAGGTTGATGGATGTCAGCTGTTCTCAGTGTTGATTGGAGTGAGCTCTGAGACCCACCCTACCTCAGATGACAAGTTTCACCTCCACCAGTTTTGGAAACCAACAGTCTATATGTTACATAACTACAAAATGTCTCCTGTAGAAACATCCCTGCAATAACCATGACAACCAACTTGTTTTTAGCTTCTGGTAGAGACCACACATAACCCCCTTTTGGTGAAATATTGAGAAGGCTGTTGGACACAGATGTAATACATCTGCCAGGGCCTGCCTGGGCATATCTGTGTCAGACCACTATAGAACACGACTGTTTCTCAGTGAGAAATGTAATAATAATTTAATAATCCTGCGCTCTCCTGTAGTTTCTTTCATCCAAAGATCTCAAAGCACTTTGCTATCTCTCATTAATTAAGGCTCACGACTCTCATGGGAATTCAGGCATGTGTTTCATTTGCAGATCAGAAAATTAATAATTGTAGAGGTTATGCGCCTTAGTCACGTGGCAAGCTGGTGGCAGAACTGGGAGTACAACCCAGGAGTGCCTCCCAGCCCCTCTCTTTAGGGCCAGATTGCAGCTGACCCTTGCATGAATGTCCAAGGGGTGGGAAGGGAGCTTGGAGCCTCTCCCTTTCTTTTGCACACCTAAGACGTGTTCACCCATACTGTGGCTTGGGGAACACAGGCGTTGCTATATCCTAGCATCAAGGCAGGTGCTAGCTGCCTCAAAGAGGGCAGGGAGGGAAAGAATAAGGTGGAGATAAGACCTCTCTACTTCCCACTCTTATTGGCTAGAGGAGCTGGTCAGGCATGAAATAGAAGGCACATTGTACTTTCTCCCAGGATGGTGTATAACTGATGCAGTGTGTGCTGCCTAAAACCCTCCAGTAAGATTTCGGTCTAATTCAGTAATACGATTTCTTGGGGATTCTGCCTGCTGTTTCTTCCACTTGCACAGCTGAGGGCAACAAGGGTGCCCTCAACCACCACATCATGTTTCCCCCGATCCCCACAGACCATGGATCAGCGTAGTCACTCTGGGACTAATGTGATGAGCTAGATCCCTCAGCTGCTAGAACTCAGCATAGTCCCACTGACATCAATTTACATCAGCTGAGGATCCAGCGTGGTATTTTGACTGTCACATACCGAGCAGGAGCAATGCTGTTCTTTCCTATTTTCGCCACGACCAATACGATTTGTGTTTAGGACTGTGGTTTACAAAGATCTTATTATAGAAAAATGAAAAGAAAACTCATCTAAAATCTGGTTACATTGAAGAATTCCAGCTGCCTTGCAATTCAGTGCAGCTGTGCTATCTGCTATCTTTTTTCCCCCTTTTGCATCCCTTTATAGAACATTAGTTTCTATAGAGAAATGCATTTATTTTAAACATGGTGATTTTTTTTCTTTATTATTTGCTAGCTATTATTTTCACCAATGAAACCTACAGAGTCTGATTGGGGAAAACGCAAAGATATTTTGAGACAGAAGAGCAGTGGGAAGGAAAAAAAAAGAAGCATTTGTGAAGCATTTCTACTGGCAGTCTCTTGTCCATGAATTTTTCTTATGGAAACTCTAATATGATGATATTATGCAACTGCCTTCACATATTAGAATCATTATGAGCCGTAGCGGTGTGATATCATACAGCAGGTGCAAAGAACAGTTTTCTTTTTTCCCCCAAAGCAGCTACAAAATTACTTATGATTTCATTATAGAACAATCAATGCTTTGCGGGAAGAGGTTTGTATTATATTGTGATTGTGATAAAGAAAAAAAAATCTTTCTTGGGAGTTTGCAGAATTCTCAGGGTGAAAACTAAACTGAATTTAGTAGGAGCCAAATGCTCAAGTCTGTATTCAAGCAAAACTCTACTTGGTCTGAAGTGCATGCACTCCTAACTCCACACTTTACCAGGACCTCCTCCCCAAGTCAACAGAAGTTTTGCCTATGGTCATTTGGCCATAATGGGGCTGCATGAGGGAATGGTGAGCAGTATTTAGTCCCTGAATAAGGACTTTAGGACTTTGGTGCAAAATCTTTAAAATGATCATTTGATACCTTGCACATCTGTCAAAGCACTGAACAGACACCCTTTTATTAACCCTTTCAACACCACTGCAAGTTAGGTTGATATTCTCCCCATTTTATAGATGGAGAAATGGAGACATGGAACCCATAAGTGATCTGAATGTCACTGTAATGGGGACCTTATCACTCTGGCATGGGGATGTGGCTGCAGCCTCATTTCCCCCTCACACTCTGGCTATTTTAGCTCTTTAGCTAAACCAGGAACTCCACCCTATCCAGGGTAAGGAATGTTCAAAAACAAACAGAACATAAAATTCCGATGAGAACCAGATCCTTCTGTCAGCCACTGACCACTCCCAAGAGTTCATACATCTTTTGGCCCCTCACTACAGAGTAGCTCTGAGAAAAGGAAGCAAATCATAGAATCATAGAATATCAGGGTTGGAAGGGACATCAGGAGGTCATCTAGTCCAACCCTCTGCTCAAAGCAGGACCAATCCCCAACTAAATCATCCCAGCCAGGGCTTTGTCAAGCATGACCTTAAAAATATCTAAGGAAGGAGATTCCACCACCTCCCTAGGTAATGCATTCCAGTACTTCACCACCCTCCTAGTGAAAAAAGTTTTTCCTAATATCCAACCTAAACCTCCCCCACTGCAACTTTGTTCATCATTACTCTTTGTTCTGTCATCTGCTACCACTGAGAACAGTCTAGAGCCATCCTCTTTGGAACCCCCTTTCAGGTAGTTGAAAGCAGCTATCAAATCCCCCCTCACTCTTCTCTTCTGCAGACTAAACAATCCCAGTTCCCTCAGCCTCTCCTTATAAGTCATGTGTTCCAGTCCCCTAATAATTTTTGTTGCCCTCCACTGGACGCTTTCCAGTTTTTCCACATCCTTCTTGTAGTGTGGGGCCCAAAACTGGACACAGCACTCCAGATGAGGCCTCATCAATGTTGAATAGAGGGGAACAATCACGTCCCTCGATCTGCTGGCAATGCCCCTACTTATACAGCCCAAAATGCCATTAGCCTTCTTGGCAACAAGGGCAAACTGTTGACTCATATCCAACTTCTCGTCCACTGTAACCCCTAGGTCCTTTTCTGCAGAACTGCTGCCTAGCCATTAGGTCCCTAGTCTGTAGCAATGCATGGGATTCTTCCATCCTAAGTGCAGGAGTCTGCACTTGTCTTTGTTGAACCTCATCAGATTTCTTTTGGCCCAATCCTCTAATTTGTCTAGGTCCCTCCGTATCCTATCCCTACCCTTCAGCGTATCTGCCACTCCTCCCAGTTTAGTGTCATCTGCAAACTTGCTGACGGTGTAGTCCACGCCATCCTTCAGGTCATTAAAGAAGATATTGAACAAAACTGGCCCCAGGACCAACCCTTGGGGCACTCTGCTTGATACTGGAGTGCCTGTTCTTGTTCTCTCAGCCGCTCCAAACCTCCATGCCAAATGCTTCTTCTTGCCCTTGCTCTGAGGGTCCCACCCTCCCCAGATTTCCCCACCAGCAGTTTTCAAAATTCAAAAAAACCTTTTTGAGCTTTTTTGCTACATCAAGACAACGCTCTGCATTTCTGCCAACAGCCAGCACCAAGAGCAGGAGAGATCTGCAACCTGTTCCCTCACCACCTCACTCTGTGCTTGGAGGGAAGGGAGGCTTTATACAACTGCATCCCTTCCTGGCATTCCTTGCTAGGCTAGGCTCCAACTTCCATGGTCCCTCTGGATTACTAGTCCCAGGATTACCTTGCTCTGGGTGGAAACTAGGAACAGAGCCGACCTGGAGCTGAAACCCACCTTAATGTGTCGGTATGCATTCCAACAATCACACAGAGTGTTATTTGCAGAGCTGGGAACAGAATGCAGAAGTCCTGGCTCCTAGCCCCTTCCTCTAAACACTAGACTGTAATCCTTACCAGAAAAGCCCAAAGTCCATTATCCCATCCCATTAAGAAAGGAACAAGAACATAATAAATGAATGATGCACACAAGTGTTATATTTCCAACACAAAGAGTTTTAACCTAGATGGCCTAGATGCTTTGGCTTTGGCCTAGATGGCCTAGCTTTGTTCTTTGGCCTAGATGTTCCGGTCCCAGCAGTTCTTGCTGTGACTCCTATTGCTGGATTTTCAAAAGGTCTCAGTTCTTTGGAAAATCTGGCCAGCAATGTTTAAAATAACTTTTATTTTATATTAACAAAAACAAAAAAGAACCATAGTAAAATTGGCCAGAGAGAGCACAGTGTGTGTGTGTGTGTGTCTCTCTCTCTCTAAGTTATGGACTGTAGCAACTAACAATAAAACGACCCAAGAACTTTTCACACAAGGAGTACTCTTACAAGTCTAAGGGTGCAGTCTGTGGAAATAATAAGGCATCATAATCAGAGCTGATTGATACTCAGAATGTCCATCTTGTGGGAAATGTCAACATTTCAAAATTGGTTTTCATTCTGAATCAGAATGAAAAAATAAATATTTTTGAAATTTTCCATGAAACAGAAATTTCAAACACATGCTGTTATGGAAGTTTCTCATTTTGCAATTTCAAAATTCTGAAACAAAAAAAAATTAGTTTCAACAATTTTTTCCTGCCATCAAAATTTATACACTTTTGTAAAAAGAAAAAAATAATCTGTTTGATTGAAAAACCTTTTTCCAACAAAAAACTGTTTTGATTTGTTTTCCAACCAGCTCTAATCATGGTATCATCGTGCTGTACAACACAACGTGGTATATGTGAAGTCTGAAAGCAGAGCTGGGCTGACAGAGACTGAGCCATCCCCGCTACTCACAGATGCCCTTTATGGACCACATTACACATTAGAGAAGCTACCTGGAAATGGTTGTCCCTGGAAACAGACATCCTGGAGTGATATTGTACAATGTCAATCATCATTGACCAAGGCTTCAACTCTGCTCCAGGAAATACTGCTTCCCAGTGTATAACCCAGCTTAGCCATACTGTACACAGCGGTTTAGAAGGAACTCCCCAAAACCATTAGCCTTCAAACACACCTGGAGATGGCTACACTTTGGGTCTGATCCATCTCTGGATGCAAAGCAAGAGTGTGAAGTAAACAAGGCAGGTGTTAAGT